TGTTGTGGGGGTGTTGTGGGGGGTGTTGTGGGGGGTGTTGTGGGGGGTGTTGTGGGGGGTGTTGTGGGGGGTGTTGTGGGGGGTGTTGTGAGGGGTGTTGTGAGGGGTGTTGTGGGGGTGTTGTGAGGGGTGTTGTGAGGGGTGTTGTGGGGGTGTTGTGAGGGGTGTTGTGAGGGGTGTTGTGAGGGGTGTTGTGGGGGTGTTGTGAGGGGTGTTGTGAGGGGTGTTGTGAGGGGTGTTGTGAGGGGTGTTGTGGGGGTGTTGTGAGGGGTGGTGTGAGGCTGGTGTGGGGGTGGTGTGAGGCTGGTGTGAGGCTGGTGTGAAGGTGGTGTGAGGCTGGTGTGAAGGTGGTGTGAGGCTGGTGTGAAGGTGGTGTGAGGCTGGTGTGAAGGTGGTGTGAGGCTGGTGTGAAGGTGGTGTGAGGCTGGTGTGAAGGTGGTGTGTGGCTGGTGTGAAGGTGGTGTGAGGCTGGTGTGAAGGTGGTGTGAGGCTGGTGTGAAGGTGGTGTGATGGTGGTGTGAGGCTGGTGTGAAGGTGGTGTGAGGCTGGTGTGAGGGTGGTGTGAGGCTGGTGTGAAGGTGGTGTGAGGCTGGTGTGAAGGTGGTGTGAGGCTGGTGTGAAGGTGGTGTGAGGCTGGTGTGAAGGTGGTGTGAGGCTGGTGTGAAGGTGGTGTGAGGCTGGTGTGAAGGTGGTGTGAGGCTGGTGTGAAGGTGGTGTGAGGCTGGTGTGAAGGTGGTGTGAGGCTGGTGTGAAGGTGGTGTGAGGCTGGTGTGAAGGTGGTGTGAGGCTGGTGTGAAGGTGGTGTGAGGCTGGTGTGAAGGTGGTGTGAGGCTGGTGTGAAGGTGGTGTGAAGGTGGTGTGAGGCTGGTGTGAAGGTGGTGTGAGGCTGGTGTGAAGGTGGTGTGAGGCTGGTGTGAGGCTGGTGTGAAGGTGGTGTGAGGCTGGTGTGAAGGTGGTGTGAGGCTGGTGTGAAGGTGGTGTGAGGCTGGTGTGAAGGTGGTGTGAGGCTGGTGTGAAGGTGGTGTGAGGCTGGTGTGAAGGTGGTGTGAGGCTGGTGTGAAGGTGGTGTGAGGCTGGTGTGAAGGTGGTGTGAGGCTGGTGTGAGGCTGGTGTGAAGGGTGTGAGGCTAGTGTGAGGCTGGTGTGAGGCTGGTGTGAGGCTGGTGTGAGGCTGGTGTGAGGCTGGTGTGAGGCTGGTGTGAGGCTGGTGTGAGGCTGGTGTGAAGCGTGTGAGGCTGGTGTGAAGCGTGTGAGGCTGGTGTGAAGCGTGTGAGGCTGGTGTGAAGCGTGTGAGGCTGGTGTGAAGCGTGTGAGGCTGGTGTGAAGCGTGTGAGGCTGGTGTACATCACCCTCACAGCTAGTGTAAGTGTTACGAGTACACCAAACCCAAACGTGTCTCTGGCTTATCTACAGGTCCTATGTCAATATTTATTTGTGTGTCTCGTCCAACTGAGCGTCTCGGGTGAACTGGGAGGGGGACGGGGGGGGGGGGGGAGGTCACTTTCTTGTTACCCTGGCATGTTTTATGTCATCCTCGGTGTTGGTGCTCAACACTGAGGGTATTGACAGTCCACTCATCACCCCGTGTTTGTGGGGCTTTGTCAGGTTTTGGTAAGAAAGGCTTGGAATTACACTGTTGTTTATGTCATGAGGTACATCATAGTATAAGTGATCAATGGAGGCTATTTCTTACGGAATAAGTCACTGGTTTTCTTTGAGAACACAGACAATTTGGGAAAGGAATCGCTACATGTAGTGTGAATTACTCCACAGTCACGTTCTCTGTAAGAGTGAGTACAGGGCTATGTTGTCTGTGAGAGTGAACACAGTAGTGTTGTCTGTGAGAGTGAAAACAGTAGTGTTGTCTGAGAGAGTGAACACAGAGCAGTGTTGTCTGAGAGAGTGAACACAGAGCAGTGTTGTCTGAGAGAGTGAACACAGAGCAGTGTTGTCTGAGAGAGTGAACACAGAGCAGTGTTGTCTGAGAGAGTGAACACAGAGCAGTGTTGTGAGAGAGTGAACACAGTAGTAATGTTAGCCTACCATGGACAACGGGGGTTGGTGTCAGCCCGTATATAAACTGATATTGAACCCTTCCTGCAAACTGCACATAACAAAGAAGAAGAAGACTGGTATTATACGTTGTGTTAATGTACTTGTATTCCACAGAGCCCACGGTCATTGGAGACACGGGATCCAGGTTGTGTGAGAAGGCCAGAGGTGGGGGGGCGGGGGGGGGGGGGGAGGGAGGTTGTGAGAGAAGGCCAGAGGTGGGGCCGGGGGGGGGGGGGAGGTTGTGAAGCTGGGTTGTGAGGGATATATAGGCGGCGAGGGATAAAATATATATATATATATATATATATATATATATATATATATACATATACATATACATATATATATATATATATATATATATATATATATATGCGAACAAGCCTGAATGGTCCCCAGGACAATATGCAACTGAAAACTCACACCCCAGAAGTGACTCGAACCCATACTCCCAGGAGCAACGCAACTGGTATGTACAAGACGCCTTAATCCACTTGACCATCACGACCGAAATATATATATATATATATATATATATATATATATATATATATATATATATATAAAACACGGGAGACAACGTTTAAGGTTGTGGTGAATCTGGCTTCTGCAGAATTTCTACCGGCGTTGTCTTTTGTACTCCAGCCGCAGACACTCTACTTTGATGCTTTGGCGTCCCGTGATTGGGGGTTGACGGGGTAGTATGTTGGTGGTGGTATATCCCTAGACGGGTAGTATGTTGGTGGTGGTATGTCCCTAGAGGGATGGTATGTTGAGCCACGGAGAGGCAGTATGTTCATAGTCATATCCACTGGCGGACAGTATATTCTTCGAGTTATCAAACATTGCTCAAGATGATTCGACAAAGCTCGTTTTCTGTCTGTTAAAACCGTTTATATTATATTATGATGGATTAATATAGGTTAGGATGTATATTGTGTGGTTTAGGGTAGTTTATGTTGGATTAGGTTGGGTAGAGCTGGGTTGGGTTAGATTGGGTAAGGTTAGATTGGTTTAGTTAGGGATGAGGTTAAGGTTGGGATGAGTAAGGTTAGGTTGCTTTGGGTAAGGTTGGGTTGGGTAAGGTTGGGTTGGGTAAGGTTAGGTTGCTTTGGGTAAGGTTGGGTTGGGTAAGGTTGGGTTGGGTTGGATTGGATAAGGTTAGGTTAAGGTTGCATAAGGTTGGGTTGGGTTGAATCAGGTTGGATAAGGTAAGGTTTGGTTGGGTTGGATAAGGTAAGGTTGGGTTGGATAAGGTAAGGTTGGGTTGGATAAGGTAAGGCTGGGTTGAGTTAGGTTGGATAAGGTAAGGCTGGGTTGAGTTAGGTTGGATAAGGTTAGGTTGGGTTGGATAAGGTAAGGTTGGGTTGGATAAGGTAAGGTTGGGTTGGATAAGGTAAGGTTGGGTTGGATAAGGTAAGGTTGGGTTGGATAAGGTAAGGTTGGGTTGAGTTAGGTTGGATAAGGTTAGGTTGAATAAGGTTAGGTTGGATAAGGTTAGGTTGGATAAGGTTAGGCTGGGTAAGGTTAGGCTGGGTAAGGTTAGGCTGGGTAAGGTTAGGCTGGGTAAGGTTAGGCTGGGTAAGGTTAGGCTGGGTAAGGAAAGATTGGTATGGGTAAGGTTAGGTTAGGTTAGGTTAAGTTAGGTTGGGTTGGGTTGGGTAAGGTTAGGTAAGCTTTACAATCTTCTCGCGACCCGTCTTGTGTGCAAGTAGGCTCTTCTGACCTTATTTCACATAGAGATGATATCAGTATCTTCATCCCGTACACAGGTAAAGAAGCATCATTAGCGTTAATGTTTGTTATAGAACGCTGCTCAACACTCGAATGTCGAATACACCATGTGTCCACTTTGTGAAAGTGTGGAATACACCATGTGCCAACCTTGTGAAAGTGTGGAATACACCATGTGCCAACCTTGTGAAAGTGTGGAATACACAATGTGCCAACCTTGTGAAAGTGTGGAATACACAATGTGCCAACCTTGTGAAAGTGTGGAATACACAATGTGCCAACCTTGTGAAAGTGTGGAATACACAATGTGCCAACCTTGTGAAAGTGTGGAATACACAATGTGCCAACCTTGTGAAAGTGTGGAATACACAATGCGTCAACCTTGTGAAAGTGTGGAATACACAATGCGTCAACCTTGTGAAAGTGTGGAATACACAATGCGTCAACCTTGTGAAAGTGTGGAATACACAATGTGTCAACCTTGTGAAAGTGTGGAATACACAATGTGTCAACCTTGTGAAAGTGTGGAATACACAATGTGTCAACTTTGTGAAAGTGTGGAATACACAATGTGTCAACTTTGTGAAAGTGTGGAATACACAATGTGTCAACTTTGTGAAAGTGTGGAATACACAATGTGTCAACTTTGTGAAAGTGTGGAATACACAATGTGTCAACTTTGTGAAAGTGTGGAATACACAATGTGTCAACTTTGTGAAAGTGTGGAATACACAATGTGTCAACTTTGTAAAAGAGAAAACATGCATTCAATTTAACATTAAATTTTACTGACTGACTAAATACTGACTGCTGACCATCCATGGATCGAGATATACTGAACTCTATGAATATACTAAACAAAAAAACTCATGCTGTCTTTAGCTACAAGAGACCACGTGAAACCGTTCCATCTAACTGTTTGTATTTTGGCCACTTACTAATAACTCGTAAAATAAGACACAGGTGGCCTAGTTGGAACAGCTTGTAGCCCAAACACCTCCTCGAATCTTTCAAATGCTAACATTCCTAAAGGTATTTATCGCCCAAGCATCAATTCGAGAAAATAATTGCAAACTTTCTTTTGCCGTCAACTCCAATCAATCAATCTATCAATATACGACGCCAGTTTAATCTTTTCCTTTTTGTGAAGTGGGTGGCGTGTAAGCGAGTGTGTAGTGTAACAATGCACCCTTAAGAATGGTCCTTACTTACCTTGGGCGTTAAGGCGATATTCCGTGTTGCTGCTCTCAGCACCCGAGCGAGGTCACTGTAGGGACAAAAAATATAGGTGAAAAACTAAAATACTTTTTTGGGTTAGGTATAAAGAGTAAATGGACAGGAATTTAGAACATTGAGTTTTGCCGGGAAGAGCGGAAATAATTAGAAAATGGAGGCTAGGGTTATTCCTACCCCCCACCCCCCACCCTGCCCTCTCTCTCTCTCTCTCTCAATAGTGGAGACACGATTTAAAATCCTCATTGACTGCAGGAGCATTTTTTCGCTGTAAATGCGCGTGAAATACCTGACATTAGCTGTCTATAATGCCGCTGTAAACTCCAACTTCCAATTTTCCGGCCAGGTACCTTAAGTGAGCCTTGACTGTGTATACTGTAGTGGGCGGCCTCCGGCCCACGCCACCTTATCGTTACTATAAAAGGGCGGGAGGAGGGGGGGGGGGATAACCGACCTTTGACTTTCTTTAATTACGTTTTAGACTTTGGCTGAGCTTGCAAATTGGGTGTAAATGGACGCTAGGGATGTCTTCCCTCCTTAGTACCTTCCCGCCTGCTTGCCCTTACGCCTGCCTGCCTTTACGCCTGCCTGCCTTTACGCCTGCCTGCCTTTACGCCTGCCTGCCTTTACGCCTGCCTTCCTCCACGCCTGCCTGCCTTCCTCTACGCCTGCCTGCCTTCCTCTACGCCTGCCTGACCTAGCTCCCTCCTATTTCAGTAGTGGCTCCTGCATACACTTACATGTCACTACACACAGAAATCACAATAGAAATACATCAAATAAACAAATCCACAAGGGTCGTGATGAGGGTTCGAACCTCAGGTGAACCGAACCTACGTTCGAACCCTCATCACGCCCGCTTGAGGATTTGTTCACCTTATATGTCACTGTTTCACTGTCATTGTGTAGCTCTCTTCCTCAGCGCTGGAAGGACTGCCTCCATACGGGAAACTCTCCTCTACTGGGAGATCTTCCTCAGAGCTGGAAGGACTGCCTCCATACGGGAAACTCTCCTCTACTGGGAGATCTTCCTCAGCGCTGGAAGGACTGCCTCCATACGGGAAACTCTCCTCTACTGGGAGATCTTCCTCAGCGCTGGAAGGACTGCCTCCATACGGGAAACTCTCCTCTACTGGGAGATCTTCCTCAGCGCTGGAAGGACTGCCTCCATACGGGAAACTCTCCTCTACTGGGAGATCTTCCTCAGCGCTGGAAGGACTGCCTCCATACGGGAAACTCTCCTCTACTGGGAGATCTTCCACCGTGCTGCAAGATCGTAATCACTACGCCTATTACAATTTTCTTCCAGTAAGACTTAATGTATTAAATGTCAAATTTAAACGCAAGAAACACTTTTGTTATTTATTTTAATATATATATATATATATATATATATATATATATATATATATATATATATATATATATATATATATATATATATATATATATATTGGGGGGAGGGGATTTTTGATGGGCTCTGACAACATTTTGTATTCAGTGCAACATTATATGAAAGCTGTTTGCATACGAGGCGTGTTATTAATGAATGGTGCTTGCAATTACGGCTCTTTGGAATGGAATAACGTAATTTTTAATTAATTATGTTCATAACTTTATGCACGATGGTGTATACCGAATTAATTTCTGTACAGAATAATAAGCTATACACCACAAGGCTAGATTTATACAAGGTTATGCACCATAGGGTCCTATACAAGGTCCCCCGAAGGTAGGAAGGTACGTAGGGCCACGGCTATACAAGGTTATACATCAATGAAAGCACATTACATGTGAGAGTCAGCATAGTGTTAAGTGGCTTTGCCAGTCTGTACGTGGGTGTGGAATGATGGTGTGTGCAAGTGGGTTTCCAGGTTTAGGTCTTAACAGACCTATACAGGCTTGTACTCTAGCAGTTTTCGGCAGGTGAACTCCCGACCTTTGACAAATGAGTTTCAACCAATCTGTTAACCTTTGCTTTCAACTTGACAATGATATGTTGACCAGAACACACACTAGAAGGTGAAGGGACGACGACGTTTCGGTCCATCCTGGACCATTCTCAAGTCGATTGTCATCAACTTGAGAATGGTCCAGGACGGACCGAAACGTCGTCGTCCCTTCACCTTCTAGTGTGTGGTCTGGTCAACATACTTTAGCCACGTTATTGTGACTCATCGCTTGCCAATGATATCCTCGTGATACTTTTTGAATTTAGTTTAATCGGAGTTAATGTTTATTTTTTCAGTACATCCATCCTTTTTTATAATATCACTGGCGAATAATCGCCTTTTCTATCAACTAGCTTATTTTCACGAAGGTTCTAAACTGCCGCTTTATTAAGTTCATGAGACAATTTGGAGTTGTGTGGTCGCCTCGAGTCTGTCTTCACTCCGCCAGACTCTCAGCTGGTAATGTATCCTTGATGGTGATCTTCCACTGTGTCTCAAGAGAGAATACGTCGTCCAGCAGGATCTCCAACTCCACCTTCCAGGTCATCTTAAACTGGACATAACGTAGCAACTCGCATCCAGATTTAAATCATGGTGATTTGCTCCTTCGAGAGGGTAATTACAGCGAAATTCAGGAAGTTCCCTGACGAACTCGTCAGGGATATTATATACATATATTATATATATATATATATATATATTATATATTATATATTATATATATATATTATATATTATATATTATATATATATATATATGGAACACCACTGTAGGAAAACTACCAATCAATGCAGAAATGATGTTTGTCATTCCCATGAACATAAGTGATACACCTCTCGTAAGATCATAATTTGCTACGAAATGCTGTCCCATTTGTTATCAATTGACGAAGCGTTCATAATAACTTACATATAATTGCTATTTTTAACTCTCTGAAGGACTAAGAGATTGAAATTGTCATTCCTGAATATATTACAGTATTTGTATAATTAGTCCTCTCATGATATAATTTTATTAACTCGTATTATTGAGAGTGATTATTGACGGTCATGTGTATACATTATTAATCAAAAGTGTGTATTAAATTAATATTATTTTCCAGTAATACAGAATAACGTATAACCCGAGCTCACAGCGACGCTTGCCTAGTGAGGCGCTTAAATAATTATAACCTAATTGTCTCTTAAGCCCTTAATAATTACATTCTAATTATTATTTTATTTATAATTCTAATATCATTAGAACTGAGATTATATATATATATATATATATATATATATATATATATATATATATATATATATATATATTATGTACCTAGTAGCCAGAACGCACTTCTTAGCCTACTATGCAAGGATTGATTTGCCTAACCTAATAGGCCGAGTGATTTTCGTTATTTTCAAAATTTTGTTTCCAATTGGTTTATTTGAAATATTATTATTATATTATGTAAGGACCATAAATTATTGACAGTTATGTTAGTTAATGTTAGATTAAGATAGGTTAGGTTAGGTTAGGTAGGGTTGGTTAGGTTCGGTCATATATTTATGTTAGTTTTAACTCAAAAGAACTTAACTCATACATAATGAAATGGATAGCTTTATCATTTCGTAAGAAAAAAATATCGGAAAATATATAAATTCAGGAAAATTTGCTTATTAGGCAAATCGGGCCTTGCATAGTAGGCCAAGTACTGTGTTCTGGCTACTAGGTACGACATATCATTAATATTACATTATATATATATATATATATATATATATATATATATATATATATATATATATATATATATATATATATATATATATATATATTATATATATATATTATATAATTACTCCCTATTAGACTGTTTTACAGGAACTTCATTTTGACGACTCATAAAACGGAGGAAAGTGTCCTGAAAGATATTAGTAATAGGAACGTTATCTCCACAGACAAAAATCAGAGGATACAATTGACAATTTACTACAAAAACAAGAAAACGGCCAACCTACTCATGAAGAACTCTCCAGACACCAAACAGAACGCCTTGAAACAAACCAACGTCGTGTATGCCTTCAAATGCCCACTTGGGGACTGTCAGTCCCAAAGATCACAGTATATAGGCAAGACGACAACGTCTCTTTCTAGGCGATTAACAATGCACAAACAACAGGGTTCCATCAAGAAACATTATCTCCTCACACAACCAGACCATCACCAGAGAAATCTTAACAAACAACACTGAAATCATCGATAGATACAGCGATAGCATTCGACTCGACATCAGGGAGGCACTACACATCAAAAAGTCAACACCACCAATCATCAGCCAATTAACACACTACTATATTCCGCCCACTTCAAGACCCCGAACCAACATAGAAGAACCAAGAGCAATATAGCAATATATAGCAGTATAGAAACAGCAAATATGCAATATACCCATTGATTCGTGTTCTGTCTTGTCACCTCACCCAAAAACGAATATAAGCATGAAATGATGTGTGTAAAAATCTGTCTTTGAAAATGTGAGAAGTCCTTGCGAAATGCTTTTAGGCGTCAAAGCATAAATTAAAATGTGAAAATAAACTTTGGAGAGTTCATTTTTCAATTAACCCCCAACAGTGAAGAAAAACGTAAATATTGAGAAAATTCGTGTCAGAATCATTAATCTTACCCTTTCGGTCATATTCAACAACAAATGTTTACAAGACCAAAATATACTAATATATACGTTTCGAACCTACATGGTTCATTCTCAAGTGATAAGTAAATTACAAATCGCGTTAGATTTATACCAGTACGGGGTTAGGTGAAAAAAGAAGTAGAATAAAGGAAAAAGTAATGGGACGAAGGGGTATTAGGGGACGAAGCACATACAAAGATTAATCAGGTGTAATAGGTCTTATGTTGAGCAGTGTCTTCTATGTTGGCATAGAAGACTCGTATATTTATTAACGGAACTATTTACTCTAGCCACCCTGAGAGTAAGAACAAGACCAGAACATAACGATGCCAACATAGAAGACACTGCTCAACATAAGACCTATTACACCTGATTATTCTTTGTATGTGCTTCGTCCCCTAATACCC